AAAAGTTTTTTCTCTTCGACGGTTTACCGATACGCGGCGGTGGGAAAGAACGCTTGTTTTCGTAAATGCGTTTCCAAAGAAAAACAACAATCTTTCTTCGATTTTGATCACCACTCTAACTTGTTCAACTTCTATTTAGAAAAAGAAGAAGAAAAAGTAAGAAGAGAAAATCGTTAGGGAAAAAAGAAAACGCCCTCGTGACGCCAGTTAAAACAAGCAACTTACACTCGTAACTTTCAGTAAACCAGACAAAGCGTAACGATAAATACCGGTCGCACTCAATTATACTATTTCTGTCAGAGTCAAGCGCTCGACAAAACAGACACAATGCCGCCATTAAAACCATTGTACCCTACAGCTGTGCGCTTCCGGCACAGCTCGTTGAATTGGCGCAACAAATTCAACCCTCGGTAGCAGTATCCTCGAACGATTTTCTTTACGGCACCATTAAGCCTGGAAATAAGTAGCGATTAATAGCGCGACGGAGCGAAATCCTATAGCCCGTGGGATGGTCGAAGAAGGGAATAGGGGGTGGTGGCGGTGGTGGAAGAACTTGCAGGGAACTTTCCACGGTATCACATGCGTTTCGCGAGACTAAGTTTCCCCTACCTTACAGCCCCGTTCACCGACCCTTTACTTATTCGTACTCTGATAGCTCGTGAAACGTTCGACAAATCTAGTATTTCGGAGGGGGATTAAAGACGAAGCTGAGTTTCCCCGATTCCTCTCTCTCTTCGCAAATTACCGGAATTCCCCGGGCGAACTCGCATATTTCACGTTTGATGCGCCTCGAACAAAGGGAATTGGGACGTGGAGTTTGGATTCTCTCTTGCGGAGATGTAAAAGAGAGCGAGACGCGTACACGTAGTGTAAACCAAAGGGTGGGAGAGAGCGAGAGAGGGCGAGACTCGCAAATCGTGTCCTCGAAGATGTCAACCGAAGTAGCGGCGCGGAGTTTCGCGAGCGGAGGAAAAGGAGTTTATCCAGTGACACGAGGTGACAAATCCTCTTAACCGCTTTACAATCTCGCATTGTCGCGTCTCGCATGCATGCATGCAAACGCAACGGCATAAAGACGTCACGTTGCGCCTCCTCGTTTGCTCTTTCGCGTTACACCTCTATTGTATACTCTTTTCTCTTTTCACCGTCGTTCGCGAAAGGAGAGAGAGAGAGAGAGATGGGGAAAACGCGGCTTATCGTGGTTGCTAGCGAGTAACGGGTGACAAAGAGACACACACGGATAGATAGTCGTTTCCGCGCGGTCTTTCGTCTCCGCGATTCGTCGTAACCAGTGTTCCTTCGCTGCGATGCGAGTGATGTTCTTGAGGAGTTTACGACGTTGTAAAAAGCGAGGGAAAGGGTAAATGGAAGGATGAGTGGCCTACATCAAAAATAGATTTACGTCGAGAAGAAAAAAAGAGTATTACGTAGAGAGATTAGATAATTCGACGTGTGGAATTAGGTCAGATGTTTTTTAACGCGATCCCAATTTTGTGATACGAAGGTGTGAAGTGTTTGAGGAAAGAGGATGAGTAAGATGTCTTTTGTAATTATTGAAGTTTATTAAGTTCATCTTTGACCGTGTTCTTAAAAAATTCTCGACTCACCACAAAAGCACAGTGTCGTCAATGTAAACAAATTGATTCTGCAAAAATTCAGGGTCATTGACCTCTCTATTCTCGCAGCTTGTGCAGTCGTGCAATACAGCTCAAACCTTCTTATCACGTTCTCTTTTTTAACTATCCTAATTTCATCAGGCCATATGTGCTTGTTAATTACAAAACGATTTCCTTCTCTCCCTCTAAGTAACAATTACTCCCACAAACCTGATCTAGCTCATTTCTACGCTAATTAATTAGCACAAAAAATAAAGTTTGATAGTTTTCGACAGCAGTGTACATCGATACGAACTCGGTTCGTTATTTTTAAGTGTTGAATCTGTTCCCCGAGTGTTCTCCACACATCCAGCTCCACCCTGTATATAGAGTAGCGTAACTGGGTTGCAACATGGGTTGATTAATGAAAGATTCGAGCCGAGCGGACGCGGAGTTTATCGATGCCGCGTGCCACGACCCAGAATTTATCTCGGTTCTTGGTTTCCGCTACCGGGAATTTGTCACCGTGTGAAGTTTCCACGACCCGAAAATCATCGTCGATCCACGCCACGGAAGATACTCCGCGATATTCGGTTAGCAAGACGCGGAATTTATTCGTCGATCGGTTACCACGACCCGAAATTTCCACGATGTTCCTCCTCCGCCCTTGCCTCAACCGGAGCGCGAGGTTTTACCGGGTGGGGGTGAAATTTATCGGCATCGATTTTTACGACCCAGAATTTATCGATGTCGATTCCCGCGACCCGGAATTTATCGGTGTTGATTTTCTGGACGAGCAATTTATCGGGCCAGAGGTGGAAATTCGGTCGATATTTATCGATATCGTGCTTTTCTCCAATGCGGAACTCGCGCAAATATGAATACCTCATAATCTGGAATTTATCGATAACGGTTCCTTCAGCGGGCAACGCATTGATATCGACCCTTTTTACGGCCACGCGTCTGTCAGCTTTGTTTCGTGCACGGGAATTTTAGCGGTATCGATTTCCCCGATAAAGAACGATTCTCTCTCTCCGGTGGCGGCGATTCTTTTTGTACGATATTCGTAAATATAGATACATCGCGATCTGATTGTTTATGAACTGTTTACAAGAATCCATATTCCATAAAATGGGATTCGACGATGGTTTATCCATCGAAACCGATCAATTTCAGATCTTCGAAAAAAATCCCGACGATTTATCGTCGACGTTTATTCTCTATCCTCGGACAACATTTTTAACCATTTGCACGTTAAATAAATAGGTAAATAATTCTTTCGTAATTGAACGATTACCGACATTCATCGTGAAGAACTTGAAAAGAAGAGCACTCGACATCGAACGTTTCAAACATCCAACTAATTAATGGACAATTTACACTTCAGATATTCTAATTAACACAAGAGGTACGCGAGAGTTAACGTCACGAATTTCCCTGTTATCGCGTTAACGTATCGATGATCAAACAGACACCTATCAGCACTGCCATAATGCGACATTGTTACGAAGACAAGCGTGCGTGTCGCGTTTCTTCGTTTCGCAAAAATCTGATCGGCATCGTTGGCCCCTTCGTGTCGCGGGCATATTCGCTCCGCGCTTTCACTTTCCGTCATGGTGACGTGTTCAGATACAGATCGCGGTCTGTTGACATCCATTGATCATGACATGAATAATGAATGGATACACAGGGTGAATAATGCATGCATCAACGTCGAACAACATCCACTCGATTCCAGTGTATAACCGATCGTGCACATACCTGCGTGAAACGTTGATGAACATCGATCGTTCGATATCGAACGCGATCGCCTCGATGATCTTGTCGCAAGATTGTACTCCTACTCCTCCAATTACAAGCGACTTACGTCACTTTTCCTCTAAGTAACGCACTCAAATTTCCTCTAATTAATCTGTCAAATTTTCGCGAAGATCTGCGATAAGTTGGTCCAAGGTAAAAGTGACGAAAGTGAAATAAAAATTGGAATTTCGAGAGTATTTTTTTTTTTTAGGTCGGGTGGAATAGATAGCGATCTAGGATTTTTCTGTCGATTCGTTCATTTTGTTTCTCGTCCGATTCATCGACGATGCGCGATAACTCGCGGAGATAAAATTTTATTTGGCAAATGAAAATATGCGTTGACTCATTGCTCGCGTGAATTGATTGCAAATATAGAATGAATTTCACTGAATTTTCCGCTGTTATAAATTTAAGTAGTCTAGAGTATCGTTTCCATCTCGTTCGGTCATTTTGTTAGAATTTTTTTTCCCCCCAAAAGAAAAGAAAAAAAATGGGTTGATTACTCGAAGTGTGTGCGAGTAGGAGAAAAGATCGGAGTAAGTGACGTGTTCGGTAGGGATAAAGCGACAAAGGCGTTTCGTGTTTCAACCTCGTCGTCGTTTGCCGAGTATTAAACATTAGCTTCTTCTACAGTTTACGAGGTCGTGGGAGGAGAGTATGAGTAGACACGGGTCGACAAGGTGCCTTAGTTGCGCCAGATAGTTATAGCTATTTGCGGTCCATCGAAGTCATAATTAGTTTTCCCCGTGCAGCCTTGGTCGACCGAACCTGATAGACAGTTTTCGGGGAGGATCGACCGAGCGTTGGAAACACTATTTAGTTAAGAAGCGCCTTTGCCTGCGTGGAACGTCGTTTATTTTACGGCTTTGTCGAGTTTCAGGGTTGCGTTAGTGTCATTAAATCGTGGTATTTAATTAAATGAGATAACCAGCGTTTATCGTACGACGATGCACCGAATTTAATAACGGTGGACCACTGTAAAAATCGCGCAAGACTGGCACGTGTAAAATTAAAGGACTTTTTTCCATAGATTTTTCGTAATGAGGACCCTTTTAAAAATCACGAGAGAGGATCGTGTGCAAAACCAAGACTTCTGATATAATGATAATGCAAAAGTGTCGTCTGTGAACGTACTTCCTTTATTTTCCAAAAATCGATATACTCTTTCAACTAAAATTCATCAAATTTGCAAGTGAAAACTAATTCGTCCGTTTTTAAATTACTTCCGATAAGATTTAATAGAGATAAATATTTATTTTGTAAGATTTAACGAAGACAAAAATTTATTTTCTAAGATTCGCTAAAGATAAGAATAATTCGTCCATTTCTAAATTATTTTTAATAAGATTTAATAGAGATAAAAATTTACTTTTCAACACTTAACGGGAATGAAAATTTATTTTGTAAGGTTTAACAAAAATTTATTTTGCAAGATTCACTAACGACAAGATTACCGAAGAATTGGTCTGTCCTCAAATTATTCTTCTCCGGATAAAATAAAAAAAAAGCACCCTGCATAGTCTGTACATTTTACCCTACATCCTTTGAGCGTTCATTGATGGAGCAGAACACCGAGAATCACGATGTCATCCTTTATTGTTGCAGGGTCCGTGAACGAGGCCGGTGTTTACACTCTCCGTAGAAGTCAGGAGGGTGGACGGCGTGCTAGAAGAACCACGACGAGTACCACCAGCACAACGGCGTCCAGCACGACGTTGATTTCTCTGTCGGACGAGGTGGCGGAGCCCGCGGCCCTTTTAGCCCCCGAAGAGGACTTATGGTCTACCAGTTCCTCCGCTACAAGCAATGTTCCAGTCTCCTTAGATACAGCTGCTGCGCCGTCAAAGCCACCCTTGGAACTGGTGGTGAAACCTCACAGCAAGGTCGTACTGCCTTGCGAGCTGGAGGGAAATTACTCGAGGCTACTGTTGCCCGGGGCCAGGTAATTTAGGCTTCTTTATTGACGAATGGAACCCACACGAGCGGATTTCGTTGCTGCTCCTCTGTCGCACACGAGTGTAAAGATAAATTTATCTTGGGTAACCATGGCTGGCTTTATTTGTCTCTGCTTCAAGGGGAGTTTCTTTCTCCGGGTTCAAGGGTAATTTATTCTGTGCAGGAGAAGGTGGATTTTTAAGTGGATAGAGGATTTATGAGGAGAGCAAATTTGTTTCGTTGGTGAAAATTATTCAGCTATGGTTAACGCGTTGCATTTGTCATTCACAGTGATATTTCATTTGTTAGATGTAATCGATCATCCTTCAATTTTGTATGGTTAATTTTCCTAGCACTGGGATTTTTACTAATTTTTCTTAGCGACCTTAGATATGTATTAAACTGAAATTCGTTCGATTGGTAATGTGTTAATCACTCTCTAATGATAGCACTGGGATCTTAATTAATTTTTCTAACAATCTTGGACGTATATTCAGCTGCAATACTTTTAATTGGTAATGCGTCAATTACTCTACCGATAAATCCCTAATTACCAAAAAAGAGTTTCATAACTAAAGTTACAATTAACTAACATATCACGATTATTACACCTTCCAGATCGATTTAAAGAAAGGAAGCAAAATTCTCTGGAAATTAGAAATTCCGTACACGTTTTCGAGAAACCACGACAAAACAATCACCGTAATTACCGATACATTTCTGCACGCGTAGCTGTTTCCCCGCTGCTAGGGAAGATTCGATTTAAAGTATCCGAGAAACGAGTAGTCAAAGCCTCGATATTGTTAATAGGAAAACGAATTGGACGATGGTATTGTCCCGAATTAATTGGCACGAATTGTCTTGTTAGGAGCTACAGAATACGACCAGCGACATGGTTGCACGAGGGAAGTCCGGTGGATATGATTACAATCAACACGAGAACGGAGATGAGTGGGACTGGACATAGATATATCGGCGACTCTATCACGGCTGCGTTGCATATAGACAACGTCAGATTAGAAGATGACGGTATATGGGGTTGCACACTCGAGGATGACCAAGGGAAGATACTTTCCGGCAGGCCTGTGAAGCTCGTCGTTCTCGGTAAGTTACATTGTTAAATTCGATATAGCATCGTTGGTAACAGTATCGACGAAGTGGAACTGTAACGCGAGGAATCAGCGTTGCAAGTTAGAATATTCTCTGTTACACTGATTTATCTCGCTTTGACAAGAAATTGTGGGTTTCGGTATTTTGGGTTCGATTGTTCCAATTTTTCTGTCAAGAATTTATAAAATCAATCGGTAGTAAAAATGCGGTAACTTGTCGAAGATAGAATACTTTGACATTGTCCATCAAAAGATACATTCACTGCACGTCGTATCTCCTTTGCAACAGTACATGGAACTGTGTCAAATAAACGTTACAGAGGCTTTCAGCGGAATAATCAAAAACACAAAAATTCCTACAGCGTTCCATTAAAAAAGAGAGGGGGTTTGGGAAAAAAACAAAAATATCTATGAAAATGGAAATAAAAACTTGACAGTCGCATTCGTTATGGACTGCAGCGATATCTCGTGTTACGCAAAAAGTCCTAACGGGTGCTACAATATCAAAAAACCATTTCGCCCCCGTTACTAGTGACCGATTTCCGGGGGGAAGAAAAAACAGCTTATGAAATCGAACGAGCAAACGGGAGAGAGTACTACAATTGCCACAAAAGCGAGCCTCGTAACCATCCCGGTGTAGCAAAAATTCGTTTCTTATTTTCCCAGAATACCTGCTCGAGTTCCCGGTGACGCAAGGATTTTATGCATATTAATCCGCGTCACTTGGCCCTGGACGAGAGCATCACGCCGCATGAATATGCATCTGCCGTAAACATTTCCCCCTCTCTTTCTCTCTCTCTCTCTCAATTTTTCCTTTTTTCCCCGCTCGACTCTTTTTCTCCTTTTTTTCTCTCGTCGACAGATGCGTCAGTCGCGGCTGCGGCGTCCGTGCTCTCGTCTCCGCGGCGAAACGTACGAGTACACACGTCGAAACAATGGCATCCGCGCGGGGTGAAACAATCGTTCCGCGTGGCGGTGGTCGCCGCGTGACGCGCGTTTCAACCCTCGAATCACGTTTCAAATGAACCCGCCGCCACGCGGCCTCGCGCCAACCACCCTCTCTCACTCGTCGACCACTTTGGTTTTTTAATATCCCGCCGCTCTCGTTGCTCGCGCGCGAAGGACAGGCCTTCCTTTATTTCTACGCTAGAGACGGCGCCCAGGCCATCCACGGAGATGCTCTTTTCACCGTCGCGCCACCCGCCCTGTTTATTTGTCAGAGGCGAGCCCCTCCTGGCGATGTTTAATTTCCACGGCGCTCTGCGGTTGAATTTTAGAACGAGGCAGCCTGTCGGCGATTTAGCGAGAAGATTTTCTTGTCGGATGGTAAAACAGACTTGCGAAGAGATCTTGGAGTGGTCTTGTCGATCGTGGGTTGTTCGATTGAGAGAAATTTTCGATTTTTCTTCTTCGTGGGTGGATTAGATGGATTGGGTGTTGATACGCGGTTAGAAAATGTGGAGCGTGTTTCTGCAGACAGACGAGTAGGTGGTTCTTGTAATTTATGGCAGTGCTTCTCTGCAGGTTCCGTAAAAGAACCGTTCTACGTGAAATCGCGAGCTCTTTTTCACTGAGAATGCACTTGGAATGTTTATTTATAGGTGTGAGAAACTAGTTTTGTGTGCTGAAGGATTTGTAGCGTGTTAAGCGTTAAAGAATTGAGAAAACTCTCGACTTTAATATTTTTAAGTGATAATGGAATATTAAGTTGTACTTGGGATCATTTCAAATCTTGATTACTCGTGATATAAAGAACAATTTTTAATGTTAAAAATTCTATTTCAACTTTGACTCAATTCTACAAACTGAGCTTTTCAAAATGACGAAGTAACTGAGAACTTGGAGAAATGTAAGAAGAATCTTTGCCATCGATGTTAGCCAGAAAGCAGATGGTACCTTTATTAATTCGTGGCAAATGAGTCGCGTATTTTCGTGAGAAAGTGTGCACGAAATGTACTCGATACAATTTTCTAGCTTATAACTAACTGGCTATGTCTTACGAACTTAAAGTTAAAACTCAGAATTATAACTTGAAATTAAAAAAATTGACATTCAAAGAAATACTTCAAATGTGTGTATAAATTATGACAGCGGGTGTGCGTAGTTCTCAGCTTGCTATCCTTTCCCAAAATTATAATTTTCTTTGGAAAAGAATACCAATTACCAGGTCCCACCACGAGGAGGTAACTACGCAAGGGACCCGACAAAAACACATGCCCTACTGGCAGCTCTTTACATTCAGAGATACGCAATTCTCATTCTCGTAGCAAAAAGGAAATTGATACTTTTCTAAACAATTATGAATTCGCGATCACTCGAAAGAACCAGCGAGCCTAATCGACGCATTTGCTCGCGGTATCGCGCGCTACTCGCGAACAAGTACGTCGATTAAAAGCTTGAAAGAAATTGAGCGATCGAGAATCGATATTCGCGAGAACATTACTGTTCGACGATAATAATTATTAATTACGCTACGAATGAGATCGAGTATCTTTGTAAGAGAGCGCTCACATTGCATTCGATACAAATTTTCTATCTTAGAATTATTTATTTTATTTTATGGACTAATTAAAATTAAAACGCACGCATCCCACGATGTCGAACTTCTAACTAATTTAACTTATTTTATCTTATGGACTACTTAAAGTTAAGATTCGCTTAGTCCACATTCACATACTTTACATTCGCTTATTTTATATGGCACTCTGTACAATTTTCTATTCATTTTCGCACACTTTACATTCGAATCAGTGGGAGGAAGGGAAATACCTGAAAAGATAAGAATTAGATAAATGAAATTTTTCTAAATTTATTTGCAAGTCAAATTTACCATTCCGAACTGCGGAATTCGTCAAAGTATATAATTTCTCGATCTGATAATTTTCGAGATATTAAAGAAAATATGTTTATCACTTCCAACTTCGAGAACCACTTTCAACCCTTCGTTGTGAACGATTGTCGATATTAAGAAATATCTGACAAATTTTTTCGAGAACTCCTATACACCAGATTTTCGTCAAAATCAATGACTAACAATTCGAGATGTTCCTTCGTTGGTATAATTTTTTAAAATAAGAACTACCTAAGGCTTACCATGGGATGGTCACTATAAACGTCTCAAATGAACGATACTTTCCCTGATTTATTTTCGTTGATAGAATCATTCGTGATTCTGTAATTTCACGGAATTCTGATACAATTCGATAGTTGAAGAAAATGAATATTTCAACTAAACTAATATGAAATTCTGTAATTGCTGAAAATAAATAAATTTGTAACAAATAAATAATGTATATTCTCAAGTTAGTAGAGTTCATATTTCAATTCCTAGTAAAACTGTTCATACTCTTGTGAATTTGAAATATTTCTCCACGAAATATTTAATTAATAAAAAGAAAAGATGCGACTCACCAATTACCACACAGCTGGACATTGTAACATAGATTTGGTTGCATCTGGTCATCCTCTCAGTTCCATCAAGCCTTTGAAATTCCCTCAGTGAGCCATTTGCATCCTTCAAGCATCGAATTTTGGTTTCATCAACAGTTTTGAGTCTTCCAAGCCTTGAATTTGGTTCCACCAGTGGTCCAATGCCAGATTGAAGGACCCAAATGCCAATTTGAGTGACCCAAATGCCAGATTGAGAGAGACCCAAAGCCAGATTGAATGACCCAAATGCCAGTTTGAATGACCCAAATGCCAGATTGAGAGACACAAATGCCAGATTGAGTGACCCAAATGCCAATTTGAGTGACCCATATGCCAGATTGAGAGACCCAAATGTCAGATTGAGAGACCCAAATGCCAGATTGAATGACCCAAATGCCATATTGAATGACCCAAATGCCAGTTTGAACGACCCAAATGCCAGATTGAATGACCCAAATGCCAGATTGAATGACCCAAATGCCAGATTGAATGACCCAAATGCCAGATTGAATGACCCAAATGCCAGATTGAATGACCCAAATGCCAGATTGAATGACCCAAATGCCAGATTGAATGACCCAAATGCCAGATTGAATGACCCAAATGCCAGATTGAATGACCCAAATGCCAGATTGAATGACCCAAATGCCAGATTGAATGACCCAAATGCCAGATTGAATGACCCAAATGCCAGATTGAATGACCCAAATGCCAGATTGAATGACCCAAATGCCAGATTGAATGACCCAAATGCCAGATTGAATGACCCAAATGCCAGATTGAATGACCCAAATGCCAGATTGAATGACCCAAATGCCAGATTGAATGACCCAAATGCCAGATTGAATGACCCAAATGCCAGATTGAATGACCCAAATGCCAGATTGAATGACCCAAATGCCAGATTGAATGACCCAAATGCCAGATTGAATGACCCAAATGCCAGATTGAATGACCCAAATGCCAGATTGAATGACCCAAATGCCAGATTGAATGACCCAAATGCCAGATTGAATGACCCAAATGCCAGATTGAATGACCCAAATGCCAGATTGAATGACCCAAATGCCAGATTGAATGACCCAAATGCCAGATTGAATGACCCAAATGCCAGATTGAATGACCCAAATGCCAGATTGAATGACCCAAATGCCAGATTGAATGACCCAAATGCCAGATTGAATGACCCAAATGCCAGATTGAATGACCCAAATGCCAGATTGAATGACCCAAATGCCAGATTGAATGACCCAAATGCCAGATTGATTCCTTCCTTCCTTCCTTCCTTCCTTCCTCTCAGATCGTCATCCTTCAGTTAACCATTCCAGTCCCTCAGCGTTCATTTTCCAAGACTCACAGACTCACAAAATGTGAGTCACTGTGGAATGGGCGACGCGAAATTGTGTACGAATCGCGGTTTATTTAAAGTTCGTTTAACAGGGGACACCGCGACTTTTCTAATTAAGTTAGAATTTCAATAGAAAACGCGTGAAAATTGAAGTGAAATAAACGCGAAAATAAGATCTTTCTCGATTTCGTAAAATAAGCAAATTTCAATAGAAAACG